TGGTTTGGTAGGATGTATTTATATGAACACATTCCATGAAAGTGACGTATGTTAGATATTTCAGGTGGGGGATCATAGAGTGGCTTTTCCTGTGGTTGTGACATCATTCATCTGTCAGGACTAGATTGGGAGGGACTTTCTAAGACATAGTGGTATGGATTGAAGAGGTAATCCTACCAATGTGATTTAAGTGTTTTATGGAATCCACAGTCTACACACACACACACACACACACACACACACCAAAAAACAAAACACAAAAAAACCCACCTTGTGGTAAGCAGAAGAATTACTTGAAATTTCAAGATTTTCAGTTGTTTAATCTCAACAGAAACAGAAGTGAGTGAAGAAATTTGTCATTAATTGACAATGGGACCTTGGGCTGTTCTCAAGCTCTCCAGCCCTGGGAGTACAGACAACATAGCCTTGTTCTCAGTGTCTGACCCACTTCCCACACCACAGGAGCCTCACCCATGGGCTCTGCTTTGACAGTCCCCCTACTTACAAGCAGTTCTAAGTTCCTGCATCACTGTGCCTCCCATTTAGTGCTTCATCAGCGGCCCCTCATTTCTTTTACAGTTCCTCTTCCACCCACGGAAGTGTGATCTGGCCTTTAAAGCCTCACCTGGGGTCGAGGTCCGGGCCTGCTGGAAAGCTCTTGTAAAGCTGGATTCTTCTTCTTCATAAAGAGTCCATTCTGGCCTAAGTCACCAGTCTTATGCCTGTCACTGTGGTTTATTCCTTGGTTAGGGTTGGTCTTAATCCATCAGTTCAGCAGATTACCTGAGGGCTGGCTAGCACTCGAAATCCCTCACTTCTCCCCCAGAGCCTCCTTGTGCTTCTGCAGCCTCTTTCAGCCACTTTTAAACACCTGACGCCCCTCTACTCTCAGCACCTGTCAATCATGCTGCAGCTAACTGAGCCATCCCATGAATGATACGAGAGATGCCTGTTTCTTTGAGAGGCAAGACTCTGCAGAAGTGAAGAAGCTAGATTTTCCAGGGTCAAGGTAACTGAATTAAAAAAGAAATTCCCCCCCACTACCTACCATCTAGGTGACCTTGTTGATCATTGAAAAGTCTGGTTGTACTCCACCTGGAAGGTAACAAGTTAGCAGGCCACAGTCTCATGGGTGCTGGCAAGAGATACGAGACTCCTGGACTGGTGACAGAGAATAGTTTATTACTCCCAGGAAGAGAAACAACGAGAGCACCAGCATTTGTGCTGGCCTCTCACACTTATAGCTGCACACGGCACATATTGCTTTACAGGAGGATCCTCAAATGCAAGGCACCAAAGCTACCTCTGTCCAGGGGGAGAAATCATCTTTATTACATTGGATAGCAAATAATTCTGCTTCTTCCTCGGAAAGAGACAGTGTCTCTCCCTTTGAAGGACATTCATTGCAAAAACATCCTTGACAGAGCAGTGCCTTTGTAAAATGTGCTGACGAGAGCCGGGGTGGTGTGGGGAGGAGGAGAGAGGCATGAAGAATTATCTCCCAATAACCTGTTGTAAGCTCACAAACCTCAGCTCTCATTTTAAAAAGTGCAGCTATTGGTACAAAGTAGACCCTTGTGAAGGTCAAAGAGAGGCAATTCTTATAGAAGCCTGCACATCATGCCTGCCACCCTGAATCATGCCTGCTTTATTGATGAAAGGGCTTCATCTGTGTCAAGTTCTACTACAAATGATACTTCCTGAGTAAGGTGCAAGCATATTTATTGAATTCCTTGTAACTTCTAGCAAATGTAACATGACAGCTCACTGATATTTCTAATTGCTTGAGCCATAAACATTAGAGCTGAAAATGACCATAAACTTCATGTCTTACAGATAAGAAAGTAGATTCAGAACCTTTAAGTGACTTGTTAAATTTCATACAGAAAAGCCACAAAAAGGACAAAACCAATGTGGCTTAAGATTCAGCAGTTCAGAGCACCAGCTGCTCTTCCAGAGGACCCAGGTTCAGTTCCCAACACCCATGTGATGACTCACAACCACCTGTAACTACAGTTCCAGGTGATCTGACACCCTCTTCTGACCTCCCTGGGCATCAGACATGCACTTGGTATGTAGACATATATGTAGGCAAACACTCATACACATAAAACAAATTTAATCTAAAAACTTTAAGATTCCAGATGTTTTTAATTACACAGAAAGCCTGGTTGAAAGAGCTCAATATTGGCATCACAAAGTAAGTGAAGCAAGGCTTTAGAAAATAGTTCATCAATTCATTTGACAACACTCTTCTTCCTACTTGCTGGACTTACAAACCACCTTAGACTTGGTTCATAAGGTAAACATAATCAAAATAAATGATGGAGAGTTACATAAGTAATTGTTGAGGTCAGGTTGTGACTTATAAGTTACTCCATATTATGTAACACTGGCTTTTCAGTTTGTCTATACTTGTATAAAACAGTGTCTTGCCCTGAGAGACTCCATTTTACAATCAGTTTTTGACTCCATCTTGATGATGGAGGATGACCCTGCACTTGGATGGAGATATGAATGAGACCATCTGCCTGATACCACCCATGAATCAGAGGTTACAAATGACTTATTCTTGGAGTCAAAAGGGAACTACCTTATAAATTTGTTGTGGTGAGTTGAGAGTGGGGGAGTCCATGTTGTATTAAAATTCTACAAGAAAAACCAAGCCTGAGAACTTACAGACATAGCGGGCCAAGGAAGGAGTGTAATCCCTCGCCTAGACCCCTTAAAGAGGTGGACCCCATCACTCCAATGGTGACAGAAATCTGTCATCTGAGCACTCAGTGTGTGCATCAAGGGACGCAAGGAGAACTCCCATCTGTCCCAGGAGCTTCAGCTTAGCTCAGTCACACTGTTGATGAGGCCTCCTTAGACTGCTGTCTGCCCTACCTCTTGTTCATCTACCTAGACTGGCCATCCATCAATCTACCTGACCTGGTCGCCCCGCCCTTCATGTCCCTAGAGCCCACCTCTAATTCTGACTCTACCTCCAGCAGCTACAGCAGCTTCTGGCTTCTTCCACAGCTCAATTTAGTTCATTATCAATACAAAAATTCTTAGATCATTATCATTTCCCAGCTTTGGCTTCTCAGGCTTCTTCAAAACTCCTTAAAATCTCTGCCTTTTTAATCCTTTGCAGCCATTCTGTAACACACACGCACACACACACACACACACACACACACACACACACACACATGCACACACACACAATCTGTAATATATGGTCTGAAAGTTCATATTAGTAATTAAGATTGGAATAAAAGAACTTGCTGTAGCTCTATTCAGGTTTATCAAAGGAAGTTGGACTATCTGGCAAGGGCAGTCATCGGAACCACTTACCTTGTGAATTTATTGTTATCTAGTAAATTCTGGCATTGTGAAAGACACAGACGTGTTGACCTTTGCTTCTGACCCAGTGTACTCACAACAGTGACTCATAGATCCTCCTCTCTATTATCCACATAGTAGCCCCCATCTCCGTTGCAGAAAAAAAAAAAAAAAAAAAAAGGAAGTACAAACCAAAGAAACACGCGTGCCCCAAACAGGAAACTACAAGGAAACGTGCTCAGTGTATAGTTGATGTTGAAAGTGGTCCCATTCAGGCCAAAAGCAGGGAAGTGCTGGAGGGATGGATACCCAGAAGCTTTATGTGAACCAGTAGGCTTACAGGCAAACTTATTAAAACATGAAGAAGAAGAGCAAAAAATGGTAGAGAGGAGAAACAGAAATAATGTTTGTTTCAGGAGGCAACTCGAAAGCTCACCGATGGAATCTCTCCTGAGAGATTTGCAAAATAAATGTGCTGGGGTTTGTGCTTCTTGGTTTAAGACCATAGCTTTAACTCTTCTGTAGAGCTCTGAAATTCCTCCAGGGACTCTAGGCCTGAGGTGTGTGGCTAGGTAGTCGAAGCAAGATAATAAATGATAAAGAATGGGAATTGTGCTTTATCTTTTATTTTCCCCCAAGTCACCACTCACTTCAGGCAACTCCATTCTGGGTGTCCCAGAGGTGCCACGCATGTGCTCCTGTGTGAGTGACCTACACAGTGAGCGATGCACTGCCCCTACTGGCCACTGCTAGAACTGCTCTGTGTGCCTTCGCACCTCTTCACAAGGCACTGTAATGGGGGTTCGGGGACAGAAAAAGATTGATACAAACCATGTTGTTTCCACTCTACTTTAGAGGAATCCCGGGGGGAAAAAAGTCACTTATTCCTCTTATGCTGTGAAAAGTTCAGGGGTCTTGCTGGAACATCCTATCTTCCTGGAACCAAATACTTTGGAGATCGGCGTCGTCCCCATACTTTGACCTCCTGTTGAGAAAGACTTTCTCTAGGCCAGGCATTTCTGGGTATTCCAGCTGAGTATTTCTTCCCATAGGAGGTGTTTTCTCTCATGGACTCCGAGCTTTTCCTCAAACAGGTTACTGCAGAGCCCTCCCAGTTTGCGTTCTTGCCTAACCATATCTACCTGGTAATGGATCCAAGCAGAGATATTTTACACAGGAGTACAGGCCTGGAGCCCCTAAGTTCCTACTAGGCCCATCCTACTAGGCATGCTTAAATTTGGTAGCTGGCAGGCCCTGCTGAGACCCCTTTTATGGACATACACGTAAACAGGGATTCACTCATGTCCTGTCCATCTCTAAGTATGAATGTAAATACACACTTTAAATTCCAGGGACATTCCAGTTCTCTTCTTGTTTCTCAAAGATGGAATACAAGATGTATCAGACATAGTTCCTGTATTATAACTCCTGGGATCTTTTGCTTCACTCACTTTATGTTTTCATAGATGTGAATTTCCCAGTTAAAGACTGATTTACACAAGTATCTTAGCACTAACTCTGAAAAATGTGCCCCCTGAGGCTGAGATGGTAGTGTTCACAGCTCAAAGCCCAGTTCACTTGATTGAAAGGGAAGTACTGCCTAGGCAGGGAATGTGGGCTTTGGTTTAGGGGTGGATGCGCTAATGTTCTTAATGTTTTCTGTGCCCCAGGTTATGCAGATGTATCTTCCATTCTGTGGGATCGCCATCTCTAACGCTCAGCTCTTTGCTGCCTCGAGGAAAGAATATGAAAGGAGCAGGGTGAGTAGAGAGAGCTGTCGAGACCATGCTTCAAGCTCGCTGCCTTCCCGCCGACTGTGAGTCACCCCCTCTTCTAAAAGCAGCAGGTGATCACTGTATAGTCCAGGAATCGTGTCCGTTTGTACAACCCTGCAATGCCAAGGCTGAAGATCCCTTCATACAATAGGCAGGTTATAGATAAAAGTAAATACAAATTCTCTGTTGTTGCAGTTTCTGGACACCAGAACTGGCTTCTTTTCAAAAGGGCATCAGTCTCACGTCTGTACTATGTGGTGGGTGGCAGACACAGCCTTGGTGCTTACAGCTTTGGAGCAGCAGCATTTGCTGACGGCTTTACACTTCAGTTCCTTCATGGAGCACGATGTGCTGCAAACACGACTTCTCTCCTCCTTGCAGATCTTGTTTGAAAGGTTTTCTAGAAGAGCAACACAAGGCGTGTAGAACAATCACACAGGCACTGTTTTATAAGATTATTAAGCACAGAAGAGGTGGTGGTCTTACACACCGTCAGGAATCATAGAATCAAGGTAGTAAAATGCACCCAGAAGATCAGAAAGCATTAAATTATCAACTAGAGATTAGAGTATATTAAATTCACTCTACCTTTAAATACATGAAGATCACTGTTACAGCTTAGAAATGCACTCTATGAGAAACTGTTGGAAAACAAGGATTAAATCCCTCAGCCATTAAATTGATTAGTTTATTTACTAACAATTATGCTAAGGACTATTTTGTAGTAAACAGATGAATGAACAGTGCTGACTACACAGACCTCTTCCTTGGGCACAGCACACCTTTCTTCTAACTGGGCCCCTTTTAGTCTTCAGAACCCCGTCTTGCTCATGTCTTGCTTTGCTGCTCCAGCAATATGCTTCCATGACTTCCACAAAACCACCTGTCTGTTTCACGTCATCGCACTTCTACCCACATTCTCCTCTGCCTTCAATGCCTCTTCTCCCTTCCTACTGACAACCGCCTTATATATCCTTCAGGACCCAGCTCAGCTTCTTTTTCTCTGCTTACTGTTTTTCATTGCCATAGTGTGGGTACCCATCCCATTATTATAATATTTGATGATAACCCTCTTCTACAACCACACTATGAATCTCTTAAGGGAAACTTTGTTCTGTAATGAGACAGTCCATTTCACGCTTGTGTATGGCACAGTTCACTTATTCATTCAACAAGCATGTATTGTGTGGTTTTCATGAGACAATGTCTGTCCTTCATAACTTACTATTCTAATGGGAGCAATTGCTTGTAACCGGAAGTTTCTCAGTCCCACCAGGCCCCGTGATCCCACAGCCGTTTATAAAATAACCATTCAGAGGCTTATATTAATTACAAACTGTATGGCCTAATGGCTCAGGCTTCTTGCTAGCTAGCTCTTACAACTTAACTCAACCCATTTCTATACGTCTATATGTTGCCATGTGGCCGTGGCATTACCGGTCTGCTGGCATCTTGTTGCTCCTTTGGCAGCAGCTGGCGTCTCCCCCAACTCTATCTTTCTTGGTCTCATCTTCAGTTTGAATGTACCACCTAACCTTATCCTGCCCTGCCATAGGCCAATGCAGCTTTATTTATCAACCAGTCAGAGCAACACATATTCACAGTGTATAGAAAGACACCCCATAGCAATAGATAATAGAAAAACACAACAAGACAAAAACCACACAGTGCCAGACAGAAAAATAAAGTGGAAGAGAGGGATGGACACTGTTGTGGATGGGGTAGATGGAACAGACATTGCTATCTGAAGGTGAGGAGGAATAGCTATCTGTAAGGAGACAACAGAAGTGGAATAAAATAAGAGACCATGTGAAGACGTGTGCAGAGCATCCAGACCATAGACACAGCAGGTGCAAAGGTCCTGTGTTCCTGAATAGGGAGAATAGAGAGAGGAAAGGAGAGGATGCACAAGAAGCAAATGAAGATAAGGAGGTGAGCAGGGGCCAGCGGGTAGAAAGGCCTATGGGCACTTCAGGAACTGCTGGTCTTAAGTGTGGTGGAAAACCACTAGGAGATTTTGAGCTGATTCCAATTTCATTTAAAAAAGAAAACAACCTGGCCCCTTGAAACAGTGAAGGGCTGAGGAGAGTGAATAATGAGAAGGAATTTGAAGTCAGGGAGAGGTGTTAGAAGACTACAGTGAAGTCAAGAGAAAAGGTAGCTGGCATTAAGGAAGTAAGAAGAGAGAAATTCCCTGCAAATCAGTGGTAATGTATGCAAGGCTTGCTGATGTGGGGGACAGAGAAGGAGACTTTGGGCTTAGACACAAGTTTGTAGACAGCAAAAACTTGAACTAAGGACCTAAATTTGAGGGAGTATAATATTAGCGATGGGGATTATGCAAAGCCAGGAGACTTGTTGAGGGGTCGAGAGAGGAAGAATGTGTGGATAAGAGAGAGGAAGACCCACCGATCAGCTCAGGAGTAGAACAGGAAAGAGAAGTACCCAGCCATTTCCTACACAGACGTAACAATGAAGAAGCAGGGCACATTCGACCTTAGGACCTGTTTCTACAGCCTGTAGGACTGTTTGATCAACCTAGACTTCTCCTCTCCTCCTCCTCTTCTGGAGCTAGCCTTTTGCTCTTTGTAAAACGTGTACCATTCGTTCGCAAAGCAGCAAATTTTAATTAGAAAAAATAAAATTATTGTAATATGATTTGTCAGTGCAAGACTCCAGGGGCATGAGTTCCTCCTCCTTTGAGAGAAATGTTCTTGTGGAGAGGTCCCAGAGGCTCTCCATGCAATCATAACAAATTGAAAAGTTAAATAATTGTTCAGTTAATATGATCCATTTGAAGAAATAATCTGAGTGATTAAGGTAATGATGTTTTCCCCTTAATAACAGGGAATTTGCTTGTAATTACCCAGACAACTGTCTCTCTTTGAAGAAATTATTTCTCTTATTTTTTGAGATTATAATTAGATCATTTCCCCCTTATTTCCTCCCTCCAAACTCTCTCATATTTCCCCCCCCCCTTGCTTTCTTTCAAATGCATGGCCTCTATTTTTCATTAATTGTTGTTACATCCATACATGTTTTTACACACACACACACACACACACACACACACACACACACACACACACACTCCTAAATATATAAACACAACCTGCTCAGTCTGTGTAACGTTATTTGTATGTCTGTTTTCAGGGTTATTTGGAATTGGGTAACCAATTGTGTGCTCTTCCCTGGGTAAGAATTGTGCCCCATTTAATGTCTTTGGACATGAAATCACAGCACAGTGGCCTCTCGCAACAGTTTGCTGTCCTAACGCCCAAGAGTCTGACTTCAGTTAACATAGTATTTGCATCTTAGTGTTTCTCTTTGCCTTGGAATCCTGGGGCAATATGATGCTTATCCACCAGCAGCGTCTTCTTCAGGAGAACACTCCCCAGGAACTTCAGGCCTTTCAGTAGGCCCACCAGCTAGGTTCATTTCACGGATCCCTTAACTCATTTGAATGCTTTTTTTTTTTTTTTTTTTTTTTTTTTTTTTTTTTATCCTCAAGAGACTCAGAGAAGAAATTTTGTTTCCATTTATTTCAGGACAAATCAAATTCATTCCTGAAGTTCAAAAACAGTCATGCCCCTGGGCTGTTGATCAATGCCATGATGAATAAATTCACACCTGTGGGTTCCTGGAGCCCTTTTGTGGAAGGTCAGACAGGCAAGCAAACATCTTGTTTAATGTTATGAGAAAAGCACAAGCCAATTCAGTGGCCGTGTGATTCCCCAAAGGCTCTGAAAGAAGCTGAATTTCTACCCCTGTAAATAGCCTTTATTCTGCAAATTCTGGGGGGGGGGAAGGTCATTAAAAATTCCAAACAAATATTACTTCAAAGCATAAATTGCAAGTTCCCTTGGCCAGGGAAAGTAATAGGTTACTGCAACTTAATTTTGAAATGAGTACACAGTGTTCAACTTGTAATTTAATTTTTTTCTTTAATTTATGTACCTTTCAATCTGCCATTTTCACAGCAATTTTAATGAGGGTTTCTTTCCTGAGATGTACAGCAATATCTAAATGTTCTACTGAACTGTTGGGAGTGAGGCAGTCTCCTCTTGCATGGAGAGAGTAGTGTGAGAACACACACACACACACACACACACACACACACACACACATATGTATATATATATATTTGAATGCTTAGAGCCTTAGTTAACATTTATCTGTATTATCCTTTCAGAATTCTGGGAGAGATATGTGTTAGTGAAAATAGGTATCAAGTTGAGACATGAAGTGATTTTTTTTTTTCTTAATAGTGAAGAAAGGCTGCTTTGCAGTTTTCCGAAATAAATACTCTCTGGGAAGATCCAAGTACTTGTTATTTATAAAATGTCAATTTTGTATTCAGTCATATTGAAGAAAAACCACCGCAGTGGGTAAAACACCTACGTGTAGTGGCTACATGATTCCTTTTACACTGACCCCCTCCATTCTCTGGTTGTATTTTTCAGTTTAAGAGAGTATGTTATAAAGTGAATTGCAGAGCTATGATAGAACAACCATAAATGTTTTAAAAATTAGCCACACGAAATATTTATTCTTAGAGAAAATACTCCATGGAATTTTGCGGGAAGGCAAAGCCGATGCGTTTCAGTCTTATAATTCCTAAATATGTGCTTCTCCGTCTCCAGGCTTTGCTGGAGGTGGTCAATGACCTCTTCGAAGAACAGACTGACCTGGAGAAGATTGTCAAGAAAATAATGCATCGGGCCCAAACTCTGTTGAAATGTGAACGCTGTTCAGTTCTACTTCTAGAAGACATCGAATCGCCGGTAAGTTACCCTGGGCTTTCCATGTGGAGTCAAAGACTGGGCGGAAGGAAGTTAAATTCATCCGCAATTAAACTTGTGAGCAGAGCGGCTGTGTTCATGCCTTCAGCCCAAGAGGGAACGTTTTCATAAATGAGAGGCTCTTTCCTTTAGATACGTTTCCGTTTTTATCTTGTCCTCACCCTGGAAACTAAACCTTTTAAGTGGATGGGGATCTTAGAGTCCGGTTAGCCCCGTGTATCTAATGGAAGATGGAGCTCAGGTGTGCAATGATTCCCCAGCATCACACAAACTAAGAAGAGAAGGCCAAGCGCAGCCCCACACACCCCATCTTATTTACCCAGCACAGGGCAGGCTCCTCTCCCGTGTGTGCAGACTGCAGTAAGGGCAATATCACTCAGCCCTCAGAGAATGGCAGGGAGCAAGCAAAGGACCAGAGCGAAGTCCCCTCAGCTCCTGGGCAGACTGTTGTGAGCCGGCTTCGCTGGGCTGTACTCGGTGGTAGGTTGTCTTCCAGGATTTCTAGATTCCCTCACTGCTGCTCTGGGCTGGTACAAACCAGCCCAGCCCAGAGCAGCCCACACAGAGAGGAAAGTGCCTCCCCTCACCTCGGAGTCTCTTTGTGCTCTAAGATGTAGAAATATGGAGGCTCTGGCCTGGCACATTTTGATGGCCAGCTTTTGGGTTTGGTGCAGCCCTTGGGGCTGTTTGGAAGAAATCAATCACAAAACAAAGCAATTATACTGAAAATAATGGTTATCATCCATCTAAGTAAGCTCGTCAAAGTTAAACGTCTAAACCCCCAGGAACAACTTAATATCTTTGCTGAGAACTCACTTCGAAGACCAAGAGTTGTCTAGCGTTTAAGAGCTGTTTTAGTATTTTGGAGAGTGGTATTTTACTACACCGAACTTAGAAAAGGTATTGTCTTTGCTTTAAGGTTGTATTCCTCAGAGAATGAGAGTCTGAGGTTAAAACTGTAATGAGTATTGTAAACTTTGCATAGACTGTTTAGAATGTGTAGGTCCATGTATGTGAAACCCGACAACATAACTTTTAGTTCTGAATGTTGTTTTTTTTTTTTTTGGTTTTTTGAGACAGGGTTTCTCTGTGTAGTTTTGTGCCTTTCCTGGAACTCACTTTATAGACCAGGCTGGCCTCGAACTCACAGAGATTCTCCTGCCTCTGCCTCCCGAGTGCTGGGATTAAAGGTGTGCGCCACCACCGCCCCCCCCCCCTTTTTTTTATTGCGTGTGCCACCATGACCACTTTCTTTCTGGGTATAGTGGTACATGCCTTTTTTTTTTTTTTTTTTTAAGATTTATTATGTATACAGTGCTCTGTCTGCAGGTGTCTACAGGCCAGTACAGGGCACCAGATCTCATTACAGGTGGTTGTGAGCCACCATGTGGTTACTGGGAATTGAACTCAGGACCTCTGGTAGAGCAGTCGGTGCTCTTAACCACTGAGCCGTCCGTCTCTCCAGCCCCAAAAGTTTTTTTTTAAACTAGTTTAAACCAGTTTTAATTTTATAAGAGACAGAATAATTCATCTCTTAAAACATATTGAATAAATGCAGGTTGACTGAAGCTCAATTCAGGAAGGGACCAATACATTGTTAAAACAGGTCTAAGATGCATTTGAGAAGACAGAGTAGGATTTTGAGGTTTTTTTTTTTTGGTTTTTCGAGACAGGGTTTCTCTGTGTAGCTTTGCGCCTGTCCTGGAACTCACTTGGTAGACCAGGCTGGCCTCGAACTCACAGAGATCCGCCTGGCTCTGCCTCCCGAGTGCTGGGATTAAAGGCGTGCGCCACCTCCGCCCAGGGATTTTGAGGTTTTAACCAAAGTTTGTTAGAGACAAATCAAGGCCACAAACTGTGGGCTGAGGTTGTCTTTCACACTGGAGAGAAATCACTTACATCTCTGCGAGAGAAAAAAACCCACTTCACTAAAGCCGTACACTTTTGTCAGGAGTAACCAGTGAGTAGAACTGAGTCCATTTCCTGAATGAGGGGCTGGCAGCTTTTTCTATAAAACCTTAAGTTTTCCAAGTGTCTCTAGTACAGTTGTTATGCAACTCTGCCACTACGGAATGAAAGCAGTCACAGACAATAAATTAGAATGTGCATGGCTGTATACCAATAAAACTTGATTTATAAAAATAAGTGGTAATTCAGACTTGGCTTGAACATGGTATATTTCTGTCTTAGACAATCTCTCTCTCTCACACACACACAAAATTAATAAAAAATATCATAAAATAAAGAGTATAGGATGTCTGCAAAGATGCCATATAGAGAATGTGAAAGCCAAAGGCTAGACACAGAGCACATCTCAGAAACATTGATACAGCTTTTTCATGAAATGGGATTAAAGATAACATAATCTCTCTGGAAAAATAAATGTTCAAAAAGGAGCTACAGAGAAGTAAGAAATATATGAGAAGGAAGAGTGAGACGGGGGGGGGGGAGGAAGAGGAGGAAAGGGGGAGGGGAAGGAGCAGGGAGGGGGAGGGAAGGAAGGGAAGGAGTAGAAGACAGACCACTTCCTTGGTAGAGCTTGGAAGAAGAAAATGTGAAATTATACATAAATGGATATTACATTCTTAGAAAGCAAGAAAGAAAGTAAAAGACAGCTCTAAATGCTTTAAGGAGCATGAAGAACAAAATTGAAAATGAAATGGAAGAAAGTAAATTATAAAAAAGAGAGAGTGATAAGAATGGACTCATAGTGAAAGTTCAACATAAGGATAATTTGGCGTCTCTGGGAAGAACACGACAAATGGAACAGGAAAAGGCTTTCAGAATTTTAACTCTAGGACATTTTATTGAAATAAAGTCAAAGTTGGATTTACAGATTGAAAGAGCACACTATTCAGAGTCAGTACTTACTGCTCAGCACTGAAATACATTTGATGCTAATGGAATTTAAAGATAGGAAAAAATCACATCCGTGGGCATCTAGGCAAAAACTCATGACACTCTGGAAAAAATGTCATTCTGATGTTAGACTTCTTATGGTCACATTCCCCTAGTACTCAAAGGCAATGGGATAATATCTAACCAATCCTTGGGGGAGAACATGGCCCTACAATTTAAAATCTAGGAAAATTCATATTTCATTATTAAATCACGAGTGGTAGATGCTTTGAAATAGGCAAGGAAGAGTGTAGGAAGTACAGTTCCAAGGGGCTGAAAAATGTGGGCAGCTGAAATCTAGCCATGCAATGGATGAAAGATGCCAGGAAAAGTTAAGTCCAGCATTCAGTGCTGAGTGTCTTTGAATGTGCAACTAAGTTAAACATTAAGGCCTAACTTATGGGAACAAATGTAAGCCTCATATTACCAACTGTAACAGTGGTGCTGGTTTCCATACTTGGGACACATGGCAACAGGCAGTGGACTAGGTATGCAGATGCACACTGTACCAGGGAAATATGTCCCTTTTGTGCTTTGAGTGTGAAATGTCTCACATGATTGAACACTCAGTCCTCTGCTAGTGACACTGTTTGGGAAGGCTGAGGAACCTTCGGAAGTACAGCCTTCCTGGAGGAAGTTGGTCCCTGGAAGTAGGTCTTTATATCGGCCCCACTTCCTGTTCGTCCTTTGCTTCCTAACTGTGAATTCAATGCGACCTGTTGGCTTCACTCTCTCCGGCCACCATGGCTTCTCTGCCTGCTGCTGGGTCTTCCCCAGCATGATGGCAATGTCCCCTCAAACTTAAAGCCCAAATAAACTCTTTTTCTCTTCCGTTGTGCTTCTTGTCAGGTGTTTTCTTAGTACAGTTTTTTCTACTAAGTGGTATTAAGCCTAGCATTTGTCTGGAGAGAAATGTTACTATGTCATCTCAAAACATGTTCCCTGCAAATCAGTTTGAGAAGTGATCTGGGTAAAGTGAGGCCAGTGGCTTGAAGTCTTGATATATACAAGACTGCACACCCAATCTCAAATGCAGACAGCTTCTCGATGAGTACCTTTGGTTTTGTATGTTAGCTTGTAATTTTAATGTGTCGTGTAAATCAGTATCCCTTTTTGATTTGTGCTTTAAGGTTTTGTTAAAAAAAAAATCTTTGCTTTCAGTTACAGCGGTGATACACACACACACACACACACACACACACACACACAATTATTTATGGACTTTTATATCTATCTGGTATTGATTGATTTTGAGGTCGAATTTACTATGTAGCCCAGGTTAGCCTCACATTTATGATCCCCCTGTCTTAACTTCCCCACAGAACTGATTTTTTTTGGTAGTAAGTGTAAAGTTAAATATCTCTCTCTCTCTCTCTCTCTCTCTCTCTCTCTCTCTCTCTCTCTCTCTCTCTCTCTCTCTGTGTGTGTGTGTGTGTGTGTGTGTGTGTGTGTGTGTGTGTGTGTGTGTGTACAAAACCTTCTCTTGGAACTATTTTCCTCTACTTTATTGGTACATCTGTATTATAATAAGTACTTTAACATGCCTGGCTGTTTCTAAGCTCGCTGCACTGTTCTTTGGGGCTGTTTGTCTATCTCTACAACAAAAGCACACAGTCTTGATTTCCACAATTTTCCAATAGTTTGGTATTGTGTACGGTAAGTCATCTATGTTATTCAGTTTTAAAATGGTCACCTCACTGTATCCTAGGAGAGGAAGAGGAAACTCCTCTTTACACACTTACCCTTTGTCACAGAGGAAAGTCTCTCCTAAAAGTGGCTTCTAGAGTCTGCAGTCATGGTCTTTGGGCATTCAGGCGTAAACTGATAAGTTTGCTGAGTACCAAAAATAGAAATGATGAATGTCTTTCTCGATTGTCTCATGCCAGAAGTGATAACTCACTGTCTTTTGCTTCTCTTAAGTGTTTCAGTTGGTTGATTTTAAGCGACTTTTGTCAATGGCTTTTTCTATTAGAAAACAAAACAAAACCCTTAGCTGGACACTGCTGTCAACATCAGGAAATGCTTGTCTTTTGATGGGAATAGTGGACTTAATGATATTCCGTCCCGGGAACTGTCTAAGTGAT